TGTATTTTCTGTGAAGAAATCATGAAACGGAAGGCAGAGCAAGAATTAGAAGAAAGAGCGAAAAAGCAGAGGATGTGGTGGGGTGATGGAAATCAGTGGGAGAGAGGGGAGATGATCGGAGAAGGAAGCTATGGGTCTGTTTTTCTTGCTTTTTGGAAAAAACCCCTTTGGGAGCTTAATCTGAATGATACGCCTCCAGCTCCAGTCATGGCTGTCAAATCTGCTAAGCTCTCTGATTCAGAATCCATTCAGCATGAGGCAGGTATTCTCTCTGATTTTATAGGTTCCCCTTTTGTGATTCAGTACTTAGGTGAAGAAATCACAACCATTGATGACACAGGTGAAGAAATATTCAACTTGGCTTTGGAATTTGCTGCTGGAGGAACCCTCGATGGTCTGATTCAGAGCTATAGAGGTCATGGGCTGCCTGAGTCTGATGTGAGAAGCTACACAAGGTGCATACTTGAAGGGCTTGTACATATTCACAATTGTGATTATGTTCACTGTGATTTGAAGCCGGAGAACATCCTTCTTGTTCCTAGTGATACGAGCACCAGTGGTAGTTCTAGTTTTGTGGCCAAGATTGCTGATTTTGGATTGACTAAGAGCACCAAAGATGATATGGATGGATGGAGAGGCACTCCTAGGTATACAGACCCAGATGCTTTGATTGATAATGTGCAGAAGCAGTGCTCTGATATTTGGTCTCTTGGTGCTATTGTGCTTGAGATGTTAACAGGCAAGCCCCCCTGGGATGTGGAGCCTGATTCGACTCTTGATGATTTCCTCGACATGGTTGCTGGGGAAATAACTCCCAAAATCCCTACTGAAATCTCTGGCTTGGCAAGGGATTTTCTTATGAAGTGTCATGCAGTCAACTCATGGGAAAGGTTTACTGCTCAAAAGCTCCTACTTCATCAATTTGTACAGGAGCCACAACTATCTGAACCAAGTCATGCCAAGGTGAAGGTGCTTAGCTCATCTTTGGGCTCCAAAGATGGTGCCTCTTGCTTCAAACCAATTGAAGATTACCGCACAAACTCTGCCCCTGTTCCCAGAATTCCGCCCCCACCGGGTTTTGAGATACCAGCTGGACTATAGAAGTTGAGGTTCTATTTCATGATACAAACCTTATGATTCTTTATTCTAGTATTTTTTTTATTTGTAAAGTTGATCACTTGAAATTATTCATTTCAAGGTCATCATCACGAAATTGTACAAAATGATTCAAATATATACACGAGTTGTTCTTTACTTCTGCCAATCCTGATTTCTTTTCACTCGTATTAGTCCTTATTTTTGTTGCCTATTTAGAAATTTATCCAAAAGATAGATTGAGTAATATTTGTAACAGTGGAGATCTGATCCGAGCTGCTTTAGTTGCATATTTGCTTTAGTTGTACCAACTGAGAATGATAAATGTACCAGAAACTAACATAAAGGAATGTTTTGAGAATCCATACAACAGTTTGGCCAAGTTGCTATTGAAAACATGGAATTTCCCATTTTGTTAATTGAACTACTTTTTTGGGGCCTAGTTGGGTTTGGTTTTGGCTGCATCATTTTGTATGCTTCATTCCAAGCCCTCAGAGCTCATGATTGTCTCTCTTTTGTAGCTTCTCCCCCCTTTCTCCTCTCTCTCTCTCTCTCTCTCTCTCTCTCTCTCCCCGTTAGTGAGATCATCAAGGACATCGTTGTCTGCCTACGTGGCTTGGAATAAAATTTGAACTTGTTTTCTTGTGAGGAAAGATTTCTCAATGTATCCATTTTGTTACAACCTTGATATCCAAGTCTCCAAAATCTTGCTATAATAAAATGTGGTTTTGTAGATAATTGCCATATTATCATCACCATCCAATTTAAAGAATACAAAGAGAGGGGCAGAGAGAGAGAGCAGAACAAAGAAGCTGAAAAGCAATTTGGAGGTTAACTTGTGATAAGCGGAGGGTAATGTTTCTTTAATAAATTTGAACTTCTTTTCTTCCATAAAAAAATAATAATAATAAATTTAACTCCTTTTTTTGTTAGGAAAGGTTTCCATTTTGTCGCCATCCAAAACAATCAAGTCTCCAATTAAAATGAGAAAAACACAGAGTTTCTCCGTTCTACAGCTGTCAAATCTCTCTCTCTCTCTCTCTCTCTTCGTTCCAAACGGAAATTCTTGTCTGTTAGCTAGCAGCTTGGTGGCTACGTCACAAATCAAAACCTACAAAAGCATCAATTAAACCTGACCGACTTTATGCATCTGGTTAACCAGTACTATAAAGCACAATCAAGCAAGCAAGCCGCTAATTTTTTTCAGAGAAATACTTATTTCCTTGTGGAGAGAAAATAGAGAACTGAGAACTGAGTGAAGAAGAAGAAGAATGAAAAGAAAGGTTGAAGAAGAATTAGAAGGTGAAAAGCACAGCATGTGGAGTCATGGAGAGCACTGGTTGAGAGGGGAGTTTATTGGAGAAGGAAGCTTTGGTTCTGTTTTTCTTGCTACTCCCAAGAAACGAAGAAGGGGTGAGTTTAGCCGTATGGTCAATTTGCCTGCAGTGATGGCGGTGAAATCGGCAAAGGTGTCTGCTTCGGAGTCTATTGAACATGAGGCAGAGGTTCTGTTTGAGATCAAGGGCTGCCCTTTCGTTATCGAGCGCTTTGGTGAAGAGACCACAACCACAGACAAGGGTGACAAGGTCTACAACTTGTTGTTAGAATTTGCTTCTGGAGGAAACCTTGATGGCCTCATACGAAAATCCAACGGTCTTGGATTGCCAGAATATGATGTTAGAAGATATACAAGGTCAATTCTTGAAGGGATTAGACACATTCACAAGTGTGACTATGTTCACTGCGATTTGAAGCCGGACAACATTCTGCTTGTGCCTACCACTACCACTACAGCTAGTTCTGGTGCTATTACTAGTTTTGTAGCCAAGATTGCAGATTTTGGGTTGGCTAAGAAAACTAAGGACAACTATAGTGGATGGAGAGGCACTCCTAGGTATTTGTCCCCAGAGGCTTTATTTGATAACAAACAAGATCAATCATGTGATATTTGGGCTCTTGGTTGTATTGTGTTTGAGATGCTAACCGGAAACTCCCCATGGGATTTGAAGCCTGGTTGTGATCTTGACAATTCCGTCGACGTGACGGTGTTTGATCATCTACGTACTTCCAAAATTCCGGCTGAGATGTCAGATGTGGCCAGGGATTTTCTCGAGAGTTGCCTTGCCATGAGGTCCTGTGAAAGATCAACAGCAGAAAGGCTCTTGTCTCATCCATTCGTAGCGCCACCTCAACCATCAAAAGCGGGTCATGCCAAGTTGAAGGTGGTCAACTCATCTTGGGCTATGCGTATGGTGTCTCTTGCTTCAAACTGAAAGCAGATTACTGTGCAAGCACTGCCACTGTTCCCAGAATTCATCCCCTACCGGGTCTTCAGATACCAGCTGGACATTAGGATTCTTTATTCTTGTATTTTTTTTTTTTTTTTGTAAAGTCAATCACTTGAAATTCTTCATTTCAAGTTCATAACCACGAAATTGTAAAAAAAAAAATTCAAATTTATATACTAGTTGAATGATGCAAAGTTTATAACTATTATAGCCCTGAGTTCTTTTTATTAGTCCTGTGTTTGCCTAATTCTGGAAAAGGAATGGCAGGTTTATAATTGCTACTTGAAATTCTGTGTTTGTCATATTTGCTACTTGTACGGTCCCTTGAATTCCATTCAACACACCACAAGTGGCAGGTTTATAATTAAGCTACCAGATTGGATTTGAATCATTTGAATCTGCAATGCAAAATTCATTTTACTTTTTGGTGTTTTTTTACTTCACCATTTCAATGCTTTTACTTCTGCAGAATCCTTGGCTACTATTTGTTGAATATGGTTTTGTTTATATTAGGTCTTAAAACATTTGTAGGCTTCTGTCCTAATTTTTGTTTATTTTTGTTTACTTTTGTGCATACAAGTTCCAAGTTTGAATCGCCTTCTAGACTATGAAGGTAAACAGGTTCAAAAAAAACTTGGAGCAACTGAGGATCTCCATTATGTTGCCGTTACTTTCTTTCTTACATTATGTTGCTATGCGTTTTACTTGTTTTCCATCTGTTGTTTGGTTTAGGAAAGGCTTTCTGCATAATATACTTCAATGCCATTGCTTCTTCATTTTTTTCCTGCAGAATTCATTTTAGCTTTTCCTGTGTTTTGTGGGTTCTTCCTTCCTACTTTCTCACTGGACTTAATTGAATCTTTTTGCTCTATTAATAAATCTGAAATTTCAAAAGAAAAATTACACTAAATATTTAATGAGTGCAGAAATGTGTGTATGCTCTTAATTTGAAAACTCATGTTATAGATACTATATGAACTCACAGTACTAAATTCTTTGTTAGTCCAATGTTGAAAATAACTGTATATTAAACCAGCAAATGTTTCCATTACACATGTGTTGAAATAAAAAAAGAGATTTTCTATTTAAACCCCACACTTCTCTTTGTTCACCCCATGTTCTAAGTTCACCCCAACTTCTAATTTAAATTTTCACAATTTCTAAGAAAACCCCACTATCTTCCCAAACTACCCTTAAAAACATCTCAATATGAAAAATAAATAAATAAATAAAAGAGTTTTTCTATTTAAACCCCAAACTTTTCTTTGTTCACTCTAATACTTAAATCATTAAATCATTAAACAATATTTGTAGTATACATGAGATTTTGTTGTTTTCACTAGGTTGTTTTTATCATGTGATTGAAAAGGTTAACTACTCAAACAAAGATGTGTGTGGTAGGGTTCAAACCTCAGACCACTGAAATGCAAGTTAAGACCTTTTTTTTTTTATGGGACTAGACTTCATTAGCAATAGGATGTAGAGGAGTTTGTATTTTTCTAAAACTTAATATGAAGAGTGGTGGGGTGTGTGTATAGATAGATGTTCTAGGGTTAAATATTAAGTTGAATGACCTTTTTTGTCTTTTTACACAATAATAAAACTAACAGCTTAATAATTTATGTATTAGGGTGAACAAAGAGAAGTGCGGGGTTTAAATAGAGAATCTCTAAAAAAATTCATTGTCAGCAAACTAAATTCTGGCCCAAGTTTAAAGAAGTTAGACTCATGTTGCTAAATTAGTTTAGGCCCAAAATGAATTAATATTAATATTTTTACAAGAAAATATTAATGAATTGAAAGCAGTAACAGGATATGCTTCATGTACGGAGTTGAGGGGCTGACTGGAAATGGGAAGTTACTCCCACATACAGCACCCACACAGTACATGAGCCTGTAACTGGCTCCACTCCTTTCAGTTTCTCTAGGTCTATAAAAGGGGCCATTAGTGAGCAAGGAAAAAAGGGGGACAGAGGGAACGGAGGAGAGGAAAAAAAACAGAAGCAGAAAACGAAAGCAAAAACGCAGAGGAAGAAGTACCAAACTACGGCAGAAATCCAAGGGGAGATACGAAGCTTTGTCACAATACTATTTGAGAAGGTATTAAACTAATTCATTTCAGCATTCTCCTATGTACAGCTAACTTGCAGGCAAAAGAGAAAGTGTAAAAGAAACTGTACAGAAGCCTTGGCAATGGAAGATGTAAACAAATCTTTTCAAAATGATGATAATGGTGCTGCTTACACAAAGAGAGCTCTCGCAAGGACCTCTCTGTTGTGAATTACGGATGGGTTTCCGCAAGAAACCCACTGTACTGAGTGCTATGAACACCTTGCGAGTGTTCATGGGCACATTGTGGTACTCAGAGAAGACCTTGCGAGTGTTCTTGAGTATCAAAAATAGAAAATGGCGAGTTTCATCCTAACCCACCTTCAGCACAGTGAAATCCCAAGTCTGCAAATTGGAGAACGAAGAGAAAGCCCACAAAGTCACCAAGACAGCTCTCCTCTACAGTAATTTGCAAATACCACAAAGGGCTCTCACTCTGTTACTAGCGGTACGATAGCCTTCCCAAAAGATCTCTGTCTGCAATCAAATGAAGAAAAAATTGCACCAAAGCATCAGACTGTTGTTACCAAGAGGGAGCAGAGAATTCAAAATTATCTTTGGCCCACAAAAAAAAGAAGAAAATACAGTCAAGCCTTCAAGGAAATTATGAAAATAAAAATCACAGAGATTACAAAAGAGAAAAGAGTTTATCTTCCTTTTCTCTTGACACCAAAAACAAAGGTGTACGACACACGGCCACCGTCGTACACAGGACTGCAGATTAATAGTTCAGAAAAAAAAAAAGCAAAAGGGAAAAATAGCTCACCAATCTTAGGCTAAGAAGCCTCCTCCTTTGTTGCTGCTGCTGAAGAACCCAAGAGCAGCATAAGCAAAGGAAAGAGAGAGAAGGAAAATGAACATAAAAGAAGAAGAAGAAATAATAAACATAAAAGCTCACAGAGAAGGAAAATGACGGAAAGCAAAGGAAAGGAAAAGAAACAAAAGTAACCAGCTAAAAGACAAAAAAAGTTGAAGCCTGGGATGACTTTCAAATAGTTAGTGAACTATTTGGTCAACTCTTACAGAAGGAAAAGACTTACCTTGCTTTGACTTCTCTTTGGTTTTCTCAAAACTCAAAGTTCTTTCTCAATTGCGGCTACTGAGTAACTGAAGATATACGGTTTGGTTCAATTTGAATTAATTTGAACTACTCCAGATAGATATGGGAGTGACTCAGTTTGGATTGATCTCTACTCCAAATGGATATCAGTTTCAAATGGCTGCTGGCTCTCAAAGCCTTTCTGACGTGGACTCTTTTCTTATGGGCCAAATGTTAAGGCCTGCAAATAAATTGATGGGTTGACAAAACATATTACCCATTAACTTTCAAAAACCCAAATTATTTGATGGGTGGTCCAAATAAATTATGTCATCCCCACAACCATATGTGAGTAAATTAATGGGCTTATTAATATGCCTGTTAATTTTCTTTGGACATTGACAATAAACAAATATGGTACAAAACCATTCCAAATTTTCTCATGGGTCATCTATCCGTACAAATTTCAATGAGATCAAATTTAAATCTCTCAACCATAAACTCTTTCAAGGGGTTATTCATTCCTTGAAAGTTCAATCAAATTTTCTGAACTACGTCCGGTTTGATTCCGCCAAGGATACGTAGGCAATTTGGAAATTCAATCCAGAATCTTTGGTTTTCCTTAACCAAATTCGCCCCAAACACTTTTCCAACCACAAAATCAAATTGAATCCTTGGTCCAACCACATTCAACCAAATTCCATAAAAAATTTCTCACACCACAAATTCTTTCAAGGGGTCTTTCATTCCTTGAAAGTCCAATCAAATTCTCCAAAGAACTACAAAAGGCTTGATTCCCCAAAGGGGGTAGGGAGTCTAGGATTCCCTAGATGCAGTCATAACATCAAATCAAATTCCATTATTTATTTCATTCTTTACATTGGAATCAAAGGGTGTTCTCTTTTCAAAGAGATTATAATTAAGAGATATTTTTATCTTGAATGGGTCGTACTCAATTAATAGTAAAAACTCTTATTTGTAAATAAGAGTGAGATTATGTTGGGTGAATTTTTAATTACTATATTACATTTTTTTATCTAACAACATGAGTCTGAGAAAGAAATTGGCGCGAAGAATGATTTGAGAAAACCATTGTGTTTTTACAGCCAATCTGACAAGGTTAAGGGAGACAAGGGTATAGTTTGTGCTTAATGATTGTTAAAACTACTAGTTAATCTCATTAATTGACCCTCACTCATCACTCTACAATAAATAATGCATCTTTTTTTTTTTAGAAGAAGAGGTATTCAAATTTGGAATCTAAACTAAGGTAATGTGTTCGACTCTCCCTCTCCAATATCGCTTGGTTGGGGGAATGCTAACAACCTTCTCTCTTAAAACAATGTTATTAACGCATTACACAAACTAATTTTTGTTTCCCATATTTATCCCAATAAAGCGGAGATAAATACCACTAGAACTCTTTCAATTTCTTACATCACAATAACTCAGTCGAACTTCACATCTAGATCCTAGTATTTCCATTTTGTTGATCTGGTTGAACCAGATTTTTGTTCTGTTTCAGAAGCACATAGATGCCTAGAATTTGGTTTTGTTTTGTGGCGGTTAGGTCTTAAACCCTTTGTTAAAAAATGCCAAGTTGTGCAGAATTTATTTTACTCTTAATCAGCAATCTGCTATCTTTTTAAGGAGGTAATTCATGCTAGTGCTCTTAATTTGCAAACTGTTAAATTCGCATTGTATAGTTCCATTTTTCTTTTTCTTTTTTACTGCAAATTGGAAGGATAAACACTTCATACTCACTCATTTAGAAAACCCCTGTTTTACAAGAGTGACAACTTAAGTATCACAAAAGAGACTGCAATCTTGCATTTATTAACAATCGTCCCCTATATTTTGATAGACCTATTACTTGAATTCCAAGTTCCCCAAAATAGAGAGAAAAAGTTACCAGCCCTTCCTAAGAACAGGGCCAAGACTGCAAATTCTGCTGCATGGCAGGATTGACAACTGGGAATGGTACTGATAATAACTTATATGGTGATAGATGAGCAAAGGCAATGTCAAAAGGCAAGAAGAAGTTCTGAACAGCTCTACCATTCGCAAACAAAATCGCAACATATAAACAATTTAAACTTGAGAAGTAGGCAGGGCTAACTGTCTCCACACACGATAGTTAACAAAAAATGGTTCACGATGTGCATAATTTGGATAGAAATGCTTAGGTGAAATGGAGAGGAATTATCTTTAATCATATGAAACACGTGAAATCCCTTTGAGCACAAGCAATTTCTGCAGTTATATAAGATCAGGCTCTAAAATGATTTGAAAAAAGAGAAACAAAGAGAGAGAAGAAGAGAAGAAAAGAACGGGCAGAGAGAAAGAAGAAGAAGAAGAAAAGAAAGAGAGGGAAGGAAATAAAAAATAATTTTTTAAATATAATTTTGGATTGATTTGACGATTATATCCCTGGATTTAACAGTTTTTTTGACGGAGGGAAATGTGTCTGCTCTTAATTTGAAAACTCATCTTATAGATACTATATGAACTCACATTACTAAATTCTTTGTTAGTCCAATGTTGAAAATAACTGAATATTAAACCAGCAAATGTTTCCATTACACATGAGTCCGAGAAAGAAATTGGCGCGAAGAATGATTTAAGAAAACCGTTGTGTTTTTACAGCCAATCTGAGAAGGTTAAGGGAGACTAGGGTATAGTTAGTGCTTAATGATTGTTAAAACTAGTTAATCTCATTAATTGACTCTCACTCATCACTCTACAATAAATAATGCATCTTTTTTTTGGCAGAAGAAGAGGTATTCAAATTTGGAATCTAAACTAAGGTAATGTGTTCGACTCTCCCTCACCAATATCGCTTGGGGGAATGCTAGTAACTTTCTCTCTTCAAACAATGTCATTAATGCATTGCACAAACTAATTTACTTTTTTTTCCAAATTTATCCCAATTAAGCAGGGATAAATACCACTAGAACTCTTTCAATTTCTTACATCACAATAACTCAGTCCAACTTCACATCTAGATCCGAGTATTTCCATTTTGTTGATCTGGTTAAACCAGATTTTTGTTCTGTTTCAGAAGCACATATATGCCTAGAATTTGGTTTTGTTTTGTGGCGGTTAGGTCTTAAACCCTTTGTTCAACAATGCCAAGTTGTGCAGAATTTATTTTACTCTTAATCAGCAATCTGCTATCTTTTTAAGGAGGTAATTCATGCTAGTGCTCTTAATTTGCAAACTGTTAAATTCGCATTGTATAGTTCCATTTTTCTTTTTTTTTTACTGCAAATTGGAAGGATAAACACTTCATACTCACTCATTTTGAAAACCCCTGTTTTACAAGATTGACAACTTAAGTATCACAAAAGAGACTGCAATCTTGCATTTATTAACAATCGTCCCTTATATTTTGATAGACCTATTACTTGAATTCCAAGTTCCCCAAAATAGAGAGAAAGTTACCAGCCCTTCCTAAGAACAGGGCCAAGACTGCAAATTCTGCTGCATGGCAGGATTGACAACTGGGAATGGTACTGATAATAACTTATATGGTGATAGATGAGCACAGCCAATGTCAAAAGGCAAGAAGAAGTTCTGAACAGCTCTACCATTCGCAAATAAAATCGCAACCAACATATAAACAATTTAAACTTGAGAAGCAGGCAGGGCTAACTGTCTCCACACACGATAGTTAACAAAAAATGGTTCACGATGCTGCATAATTTGGATAGAAATGCTTAGGTGAAATGGAGAGGAATTATCTTTAATCATGTGAAACACGTGAAATCCCTTTGAGCACAAGCAATTTCTGCAGTCATATAACATCAGGCTCTAAAATGATTTGGAAAAAGTTCAGTCTGACACCTCGTATATGGAGCTAATATTTACTTGAAATGTAATGGGAAAAAAGAGAGAAATTCGTTTAAACTTTAAACTAATAAAAATATATTGAAAACAACAGAACCCTACAATTATGTAGCTTAAAAGAAAAATATTCGGTCATACTTAAAAAGACTAGCTATATTTGTTGCAACCAATTATGTCCAAAGGAAGGAGAAGCTACCAGAGCAGCCCGATGAGACTTGTCGAGTCCTTCAATGAAACTGAGAGTTATCTGGTTTCATATTCTGGAACCTGCCCTTCATTATCTGGTGCAATATCTGAAAGTCTCCGAAGTCTTCACTTCCATCTCACCAATGTGTTTGTAACTTGAAGGGTGTCGTCTTTGAACACATTAAATGCTAATTTTGATATTTGGGATGTGAGAAATTTTGAACCACTCTTTTCCCTTCTCCTTTTGGCAATGTTTTTGGAGAATTTTACACTTGTTGATCGTCAAATTCTGCAGTGGTATTTTTCGGAGGAAGTATGGTAGCACTTTTATGCAAAAGCAAGAGTCAATCTCTAAGGTATGAAGACTTGGCATTATTTTGATAGAAGCATCTCCTTTCATGGACCTTGCACTCCCTACCCATGCATTCCACTTGAACAAGGATGAAAATCGAAGTTCCCTCAATTTCGGGAATGAAATAATAGATGAGTTTTCTGACCCACCAGAATCTATTCCCAAAAACTCACACCCAACCTTTTTCATGCTATTCATAAGACATATTTCCAGTGATTCAAGGGATGGGAGTTTCCCCAAGGGAGGTAAAGACTCACAATCTGGGCAGGAATGCAGGATAAGCCTTCTCAAATTTGTTAACCGCAGCATCCAATCTGGAGATATGGTGGTGCCTCGATATTTTCGAATCTCTAAAGATTCCAAATTTGGATGTGGTTGTAAAGCTTCAAGTATAATTTTATCTTCAAGTCTCCTCTCTTCACTCCAATC